TGCTCCACAAAGCCATCTACAGATTCAATGTACTCTATATCAAAATTCTAGCTACTCTTTTTGCAGAAATGGACAGCCTTATCCTAAAACTCATATGGAATTGCAAAGAACTCTAAGTAGCTTGAACAATATTTATAAAGAACAATGAAAAGGAAGAACTAGCTGGGCTTGGTGGCTCAGCCTGTATTCCTGCGCCTTTGGGAGGCTGAGGTGAGTGGATTACCTGAGTCCGCGGGTTTGAGACCCACCTGGGCAGGTGAGATCTCAACTCTACAATAAATCAAAAAATTAGCCGGGCGTGGTAGCGCGCACCTGTAGTTCCAGCTACTTGGAAGGCTGAGGATCGCTGGAGCCCAGCAGGTCGAGGCTGCGGTGGCTGGAAGCGGCCACTGCACTCCAGTCTGGGTGATAGTGAGACTCCAACTCAAAAAAAAAAAAAGAAAAAAAAAGAAAAGGAAGAACTTACACTTTCAAACAGTGTGGTACTAACATAAGGATAGACACATCAATGAAGTAAAATTAAGAGTTCAAAAATAGACCCACATGTCTATGACCAATTAATTTTTTTTTAAGACAGGATCTCATTCTGTTGTCCAGGCTGAAGTGCAGTGGTACAATCGTAGCTTACTGCAGCCTCAAACTTCTAGGCTCAAATGAGTGCTAGGATTACAGGCGTGAGCCACTGTGCCAGGCCTGATCAATTCATTTTCAACAGGGTACAAAAATCATTCACTGAGAAAAAAAAAGTCTTTTCAACAAATAGTGCTGGGACATCTGGATACCCACATGCAAAAGAATGAATTTGGGTGCAGGGTACAGTGGTGCACATCTGTATTCCCAGATACTCAGGAGGCTGAGGGCAGGAGAAGCACTTGAGTCCAGGAGTTTCAGTCCAGCCCTGGTAGCATAGTAAGATGTCATTTCTTAAAAAAAGAATGAATTTGGACCCCTACCTTACTCCATATACACAAAGTAACTCAAAATGGATCAAAGACCAAAACATAAGAACTAAAACTCTAAAACTCTGAGAAGGAAACAGGTGAAAATCTTCAAGATCTTAGATTTTAAAATATGACATCATAAACTGGGCGCAGTGGCTCACACCTGTAATCCCAGCACTTTGGGAGATGGAGGCAAGAGGATTGCCTGAGTCCAGGGATTCAAGACTAACCTGTGCAACTTGGTGAGACCTTGTCTCTACAATAAACCAAAGAATTAGCCAGGCATGGTGGCACATGCTTATTGTTCCAGCTACTTGGAAGGCTGAGGTGGAAGGATTGCCTGAGCCCAGCAGGTCTAGGCTGTGATAACCGTGAGTGTACCACTGTACTCCAGCCTGGGCAACAGAGTGAGACTCCCACTCAAAAAAAGTAATAAAGTAAAATAAAATATGACATCATAAGCACAGTAAAGAAAAAAATAGATAAATCGGACTTCAAAATTTAAAACTTCTGTGTGTCAAAGGGCACTATCAAGTGCATAGACACTATCAAGTGAAAAGACAACCCACAAATTGGGAAAACATTTTTGCAAATCATATATCTGATGAGGATTTAATACCCAAAATATAGAAAGAGCTCTCACAACTCAACAATAAAAAGAAAAAACACAACTTTTAAAAGGGCAAAGGATATGAATAGATGTTTCTCCAAAGACATACAAATGGCCAATAAGCACACGAAAAGATGTTCAACACCATTAGTCATTAGGGCAATGCAAATCAAAACTACAATGAGACACCACTTTACACACAGTAGGATGGCTATAACCAAAAAGAAAGACAATGCCAAGTACCAACAAGGATGTGGAGAAATGGAAACTTTCACACATTACTGGTGGAAATGTAAAATGGTGCAGCCACTCTGGAAAACATATCAGTTCCTCAAAAAAGTAAAACAGAGTTCTCCTGTGACTCAGCAATTTCACTCCTTGGGGATATATCTAAGAGAACTGAAAATATAAACTCATATAAAAACTTGTACCTGAATGTTTATAGCAGTGTTATTGATAACAGCAAAAAAGCAGAAATGACTCAAATGTTCATCAGCTAATGAATAAATAAAATGTAGTACTGTATATCCACAGAATGAAATATTATTCAGCTACAGAAAGAAATGAAGTACCGTTATATGCTACAACATGAATGAACCTTGAAAACATTACATTACGCTTTGGGAGCCCACAGGTTCGAGAACCACCTGGGCAACTTGGCAAGACATCTCTACAATAAATCAAAAAATTAGCCGGGTGTGGTAGCGCGTGCCTATAATTCCGGCTACTCGGAAGGCTGAGGGGGAAGGATCACCGGAGCCCAGCAGGTTGAGGCTGCGGTGGCCGGGAGCGGCCACTGCACTCCAGTCTGGGTGGCAGAGTGAGACTCCAACTCAAAAAAAAAAAAAAAAAAAGAAAACATTACATTAAGTAAATGAAGCCATATACAAAAGGCCATATATTATATTAGTCCATTTATATGAATGTATAGAAAGGAAAGTCCAAAGAGAAAGTAGATGAATAGTTTCCAGGTAATATAGGCAGTGGGACTATGTGCTGATGGGTATGGGATTTCTTTTCTTTTTTTGAGCTGGAGTCTCACTCTGTTGCCTAGGTTGTCATGCAGCAGCATGCTCACCATCACCTCAGCTCCGACCTGTTGGGCTCAGGTGATCCTTCTGCATCAGCCTTCCAAGTAGCTAGAACTACAGGCATGTGCCACCACGCCTGGCTAATTTTTTTGGATTTATTGTAGAGGCGAGGTCTTGTCAAGTTGCCCAGGATGGTCTTTAACCCATGGACTCGGGCAATCCTCTCTTCTCGGCCACCCAAAGTGCTGGGATTACAGGATTGTGCCACTGCACCCAGCCGGGGTATGGGATTTCTTTTGCAGGGTGATAAAACTGTTCTGGAATTAGATAGTGGTGATGGCTACACAATACTGTGAGTATATTAATAATCACTGAATTGCACATTTTAAAATGATTTAAATGATGAATTGTATTTCAAATTTTTACATTTGAAAATTTTTATAACTTTGTATCCAAATAATATTTTAAAAATAGAAGGGTTGTGAATTACTATTTTCTCTTTAAAAAATCTCTTACTTTCAGTGTGGCATTGTTTATAATCACAGAAAAACTGAAACCAGCCTAAACAGCCATTATTAGGAAACTGATTAAATAAATTATGATAGTTATGAAGAACAATGAGATGTATGAGGGGTATCCCCCCAAAAACGGAATTATCTTTTGGAGGGTAGCCCCTTGTAGCACATGTGGAATTTGTTTTTCTGGATCAAATGGTAAACCAAAGTTTTTATCTGGAAGTTTTGAGAAGGTTATGTCACGATTTGTGGAAGAGACATCCCAAGTTGTGGCAAACAGGTGACTGGTTCTTCCACCATGACAACATACCTGCCCACACCATGCTGAGCGTTCAGTAGTTTTTTTTTTGTTTTTTGTTTTTGGAGTCTCACTCTGTCGCCCAGACTGGAGTGCAGTGGCCAGGGGCCTCGACCTGCTGGGCTCTGGCAATCCTTCTGCCTCAGCCTTCCAAGTAGCTGGAACTACAGGTGCGCACCACTACACCCGGCTAATTTTTTGATTTATTGTAGAGATGAGGTCTCACCAAGTTGCCCAGGCGGGTCTCAAACCCTCAGGCTCAGGGAATCCACTCACCTCGGCCTCCCAAAGTGCTGGGGTTACAGGCTGAGCCACCAAGCCTGGCCTGTTCAGTAGTTTTTTAATAAAAACTGGCATGACCTCTATGTCCCACCCTCTCTATTCACCAGATCTTGCCCAGAATGATTTTTTTTTGTTTGTTTCCCCAGATGAGAAAAGTCCTCAAAGGGAAACATATTGCTGATGGGGAAGAGGTGAAACAAAAAAAATGGCAGAAGCACTAAGAGGCATCAAAATCGATGAGCTCAAAAACTGTTTTGAGCAGTAGAAAAAGCGTTTTGATAGGTGTATTGCATCAAATAGAGAATACTTTGAAGGTGACTGAAGTTTAAACATGTAAGAATACATAATTTTTTATAAATTCTGGTGGGTTTTAGATCCCTCCTAGTATTAGTTGAAAAAAGCATAAGGCCAAACAGTGGCTAAAACATGATCCCATTTGTATTTTTAAAAATACGCAAACATACTTGTATTTGTGTAACATCCTAACAGAGGTAACCACAGTAGACTGGGACTTGAAGACTTTCATTTTTAATGTGATGGCATTCTGTATTATTTAAATACTGTTTGAAATAAAATAATATTCTATTCCTCTTTCTGGAATACCACTTCAAGCATTTAGATGGCTTTCAAACATATAAGGAGTTCAAGTACTGAATAAAACCTTTGCTGGATGCAAGAGAAGTTTCTTTAAATGTTACTGTCTTTTACAATTAGAAAATGGATGTTACAATAACACAATTTACATTTTCTGATAAACCGTACTCCTTGTAAGGCAGCATGGTCAAACAATTTACCACAAAGTCATTTTATACAGTACATATGCCACAAGAAGAAAAAAGTATATCAGACAAAAAAAATCTCTACATACTAAGAGAATATAAAATGAGAAATCATATATTTCTGATAACAGAACCAAAAATTACATATTTATGGTAATAATGTTTAATTATTTTATATATAAGACCCGATACATGTCCTATAAGGACACAAAAGCTATTCATAATTAAGGTAGAAAGAGTAAATTTGCTTGGATTCATGCATAGAATGGTACTGATGATATATAATAACGGTAATATTATACCAGTATTAATTACACAAAAATCTACAAAATGGAATCTGTAATATCATGAGCCTAAAAAGCACATTAGCAAAAATAAAGGATACATATTCCATCCATTTTTAACCTTAAAACATGTTGTTAGAGAATCTCCAGGATTGGATAAACACTAGAGAGATTTACTTTGACGTAGAGATGAATATATCATAAGAAAAATTTATACTTCTACTTCTGTAATGATGTCAGTAAAAGAAAAAGATACCTACCTGCCATTCAAACTCGCTATCTGACCAATCCCAGTAAGTACTAATAGAAGAAGAGACATCACTGCAGACACTCCCCTCAGGGAATAAATCAAAAGAAGTGAAGTCTTGATCATCTAACAGGGAATAGCAATCATCTTGATCTCCAACAGAAACAGATGAGAACAGCTCCTCACTGCATTCTGAGCTGGCAACACTTGTTCCACAAGAAGTTAGATTCCACCTTCAAAAACACAACACAAAAGAAATCACAAGAACTACAAAATTCACACAATTTTAAGGCATTAACAGAACACATTTATGACATTTATAAGGAATGCATTTTTTGTACTTTTCAATAAAGTCTTTACCTTTCAAGAAAATATACCAAAATATTTATTAATAAAATATGTCTAGGACTTGTCTCAAAATAATAAGGGTTGGGGAATTATAGATAAAACACAGTGCCATATGCGAATAAATGTGTTAAAGCTAGGTGATATAATCATGGGGTTTATTACACTATTCTACTTTCACACCTCTCAGAAATTTTTTATAATAAAATGGTTCAAAAAAAGATATGTTAGGAATAACGCAAAACCTCAATCCATAAACAAAACACATAGCATAGTGGTTATGACTAAGCTCTGGACTCAGACTGAATTCAAATTCTTGCTGGCACTTGCTAGCTATTTGATCTTAAGCAAATCACAACCTCTCCAAGACTGCTCCCATCTTTAAAATGGAGTTACAGTGACAATTACATGAGAATGCGTAAGAGCACTAAGTACATATAAAAAGTGCTCAGTACATGACAGCTATTATTATTAAATTAAAGGAATAGGGGAGTAATTGTAGGGCAGAGAAAAGCACCAGCAAAGTACACAGGTAGGAATTCAAGACAAGTTTGCTATATTTAAATAACTTTTACATATTGTTATACAAGCTCATTGCAAAGATGCTAGAATAAGAAAGGAATGGAAAAGAAAATAACCAATAATCTCATTATTCAACAATAATCATAATATTTTGGTACTTAAATTTCACATACTTTTTTAATAGAATCACCAATTATTTTGTGTATATATATTTTAGTATCCTTTGTTCGCTTAACACTATATACTGAACATTTTCCTAGGTATAATCCCTACTTAATATTTCACTGACTGAATGCATCACAGTTGAACCTTTATAATAGCTAGGTAGGTTGTTTACAAGTTTTCATATAACAAATAATACTAAGATGAATTTTCTTGTTTATAACTATTTATCAAAAACTAATTCTCTCAGGATAGGTTGCTTGAACAGTAAGTACTGAGTCAAAGAATATGAACACTTTTTAAAAAAATTATTTATTTATTTTTTATTATGAAGTTGTGGGGTACAGGTACAGTTAAGGGTTAGGTAGACAATTGCGTTTCATTCAGGCACCCTGTTGATATGGGGTGTTTCCCCGTTCCCAGACAGATATTTGCTACTGTTAATCCCATCTCCCTCCCCCCACCATAGTTTCCCAGTACTGTCAGTCATTTTCATATAGTATTGTATTGGATGTTTAAGGTCCATTATATGAGTGAGAACATGTGATACTGGGATCTTTATTTCTGTGAGAGGTCACTCAGTATTATAGACTCTAGTTTCATCCAGGTTGCTGCGAAATTCATGATTTTGTTCTTTTTTATGGCTGCGTAGTATTCCATCGTGTATATGTACATTTTTTTTTTAGTTGTAGTCTTACTGTCGCCCAGACTGGAGTGTAGTGGCACGCTCCTGGCCACCACAGACTCAACCTGCTGGGCTCCGGTGATGCTTCCACCTCAGCCCTCCAAGTAGCCGGAACTACAGGAGTGCGCTACCATGCCCGGCCAATTTTCTGATTTATTGTAGAGATGAGGTCTCACCAAGTTGCCCAGGTGGGTCTCGAACCCGTGGGCTCAGGCAATCCACTCGCCTCGGCCTCCCAAAGTCCTGGGATTACAGGTTGAGCCACCAAGCCCAGCCGAATATGAACACTTGTAAGGATCACGGTACATTCAGTAAAACAGCATTCTGAAAGGCTGTACCAATTTACACTTCCCAAGCAAGTATATAAAACCTTAACAGCACTGAAATTTTTATTTTTATTTATTTCATTTTATTTTATTTTATTTTTTGAGTTGGAGTCTCACTCTGTCGCCCAGACTGGAGTGCAGTGGCCGCTGCTGGCCACCGCAGACTTGACCTGCTGGGCTCCGGCGATCCTTCTGCCTCAGCCTTCCGAATAGCTGGAGCTACAGGTGCGCACTACCACGCCCGGCTAATTTTTGATTTGTTGTAGAGATGAGGTCTTGTCAAGTTGGGTCTCGAACCCACGGGCTCAGGCAGTCCACTCACCTCGGCCTCCCAAAGTGCTGGGATTACAGGCTGAGCCACGGAGCCCGGCCTGAAATTTTTATTTTAAAAGTATTGGCCGGGCTCGGTGGCTCAGCACTTTGGGAAGCCAAGGTGAGTGGAATACCTGAGCCCGTGGGTTCAAGACCAGCATGGGCAACCTGGCGAGACCTCGTCTTTACGATAAAAAAAAAAAAAAAAAAAACAGCTGAGATTGATAGCACGCGCCGGTAATTCTGGCTACTCGGAAGGCTGAGGTGGAAGGATCGCTGGAGCCCAGAAGGTCGATGCTGGGGTGGCCATGAGCGTGCATGCCACTGCACTCCAGCCTGGGCAAAGGAGTGAGACTCCAACTCAAAAAAAAAAAAATGTTTACCTAGGGCGGAGTACAGTGGCTCACGCCTATAATCCCAGCACTTTGGGAGGCCAAGGTGAGAGGAATGCCTGAACCAGAGGGTTCAAGATTAGTGTGAGCAACTTGGCAAGACCTCATCTCTACAATAAATCAAAAAATTAGCCGGGTGTGGTGGTGCATGCCTGTAGTTCCAGCTACTTGTAAGGCTGAAGTAGAAGGATTGCCTGAGCTGAAAGAAGTTAGGCGCTAGTGATAACTCCACACCTGTTTAAGGCCAAGAGATGTATTAAAGCAGTGGCTACAAGGGAAAAGGGAAAGGGTCTGTGGCCACCGGATTGGGGAGAGAGAGAGAGAGAGAGAGAGACAGGGGAGAGAGAGAGCAAGAGAGTGTGAGAGAGAGCGAGAGAGAGAGGGGGAGAGAGGGGAAGAGAGGGCGAGAGAGAGGGAGAGAGGGCGAGAGAGTGAGAGAGAGGGAAAGAGGGCAAGAGTGAGAGAGAGAGAGAAAGAGAGCAAGAGAGAGAGGGAGCAAGAGGGAGTTATGCAGGGAGAGGGGTGTATTTATGGGCTTGGCAGGGGCCGGAAGGGGACTGGCGAGGGGAATCGGCGAGGGGAATCGTGCATGAAGAAGCCTGAACCTAGGGCCTTTGTTGTCTAGTGTGGCTTTACCATGTTTGGCACCATTATGGGAGCCGCCCCTCTGGCTGTTTCCTGTACCCTTCATGAGCCCAGCAGGTTGAGGCTGCGGTGGGCGGGAGCATGCCAGTGCCCTCTGATCTGGATGACAGAGATTCAAACTCAAAAAAAAAAAAAAGTTTACCTATCTAATAGGATAGACACATTTTTATATCAGATTTTATTTCTTTGATTACTAGTAAGATCAAAATTTTAAATATTTGTTAGCTATTCTCTTACAGTGTTTTTCAAAGTGTTAATGTTTTCATTGCTGATTTTGTAAGAGTTATGCATTGAGGATATTAACATTTTTTTCCTGCAGTATTTGTTATAGGGGCTTTTGGGGAGGGAATCTTGACATCTATCAATCTGTTTTCTTTTGTAAATTTCCACTAGTTTTAAAATATTAATCAGATAATCCTCATTGCTTTGGTAGTAGCAAAGGGAATTAATCCTTAAGATAATGATTTAGTATTTCCAATACTAATAAGCTCCAGAAATAATGACTTCCTGAAGAAAAAACGGTTATTTATCTATTATTAGGTTATTTCTCATCCTTCATTAAATCTGGGTTTTCTTAAATTTTGTATTTCATTTTTAAAAACTTCCTCCCCCATGTTGTATGGCTAATCTTTTTTTTCTTTGAGTGGGAGTCTCACTCTGTCACCCAGGCTGGAGAGCGGTGGCAAGCTCATGGCCACCATAGCCTTGACCTATTGGGCTCAGTTGATCCTTCTGCCTCAGCCTTCCAAGTAGCTGGAGCTATAGGCACGCGTCACCACACCCAGATAATTTTTTTTTTTTTTATTGTAAAGATGAGGTCTCGCCATAATTGCCCAGGCTGACCTCAAACCCATTGGCTCAGGCAATCTTCTCACCCTGGCTTCCCAAAGTGCTGGGATTATAGGCGTGAGCATCCGGTCCTGTATGGCTAATCTTTAATTCAGAAGTTCTTGATTTACAAAATTTGAGCAACCTGAAAATTGTATGGCACCTATTGAGCTGAAGATAGCATCAAAAGAAGCACTGAAATATATACATACAAACTATTATAGTTCAGTAAATAAAAAGCAGATGTCAGCTGGGTGCAGGGGCTCATGCCTGCAATCCCAGCACCTTGGGAGGCCAAGGAAAGAGGATTGCTTGCGACCGGGAGTTTAAGACCAGCCTGGGCAACATAGCAAGAACTCATCTCTATAAAAAAATAAAAATAGGGTACCTGATCTCAAACCAGGTGAAGTGGGAACCAAATTGAGGCCCAAACTTTACCTGTACAATGACCATTTGTGTACTTAACCCTGAATTATACCCCATATCTTTAAAATAAAAATTTTTGCCAAGGCGAGAGGATTGCCTGAGCCTGCAGATTCGAGACCAGCCTGGGCAACATGGTGAGACCTCGTCTCTACAATAAATCAAAAACTTGGCTCGGCATGGTAGCACACGCCTGTAGTTCTGGCTACTTGGAAGGCTGAGGCGGAAGGATCGCTGGAGCCCAGCAGGTCGAGGCTGCAGTAGCCGGGAGTGGCCACTGCACTCCAGTCTGGGCGACAGAATGAGACTCCAACTCAAAAATTAATAATAAAAAAATATATATATATAAATTAAAAACAATAAAATTAAATTAAAAAACAATTTTTAAAAAAAGCAGATGTCAATACATTTTTATGAATAGGCAAAAATCTAAAATTCATCTAAGAATACTAGAATACTTTGTGCTATGTTCAACAATTACAAGTTATGTCCTAGACACAATGCTACCCACATTTTAATTAAAAAAATTTTAAAAACCCTGTCTACATTATGTCCTGAGTAAACTATTTTTCTCTTGTGTCTTCAAGTTGCAT